AGTCAAAGAAAGAGAACAATATTCTAATTTAAAAGTAATTTAATATTTGTCGTATGTTGATTAGTCAAAAATTCAATACTTGAAAATAACCAAACTAAAATGATTTTCTTTCATTTCATATACTCCTTGTTCACTATGCCTAATTCTTAGTCTTATTAAAAAAGCTAATAATAATTATTATTAAAATAACAAACTGATTTGTAGTTCTCATGATAAAAAATCAATAAATACAAAAGGGGGACCGCGGTGGCCGAGTGGCTGGGCGTCCAACTCTGTCACGCTAAAAGTACTGGGTTCGAACCCAATGGCTTTTTAACTAAAAATAATATAAACAAAGTATTGTAAAGTAGTTTTACTCCTCGTCCGCGACACCACCAGGTAGTTAGACGTTAAGCCCTACAGTATCACAAAGCATCCAAAATTTTCCTAACTGTTATGTTGAAATAAAGAGATATAAAATAAATGGACGCTTTTTTGTTGTATCGATTGAATAAATTCGGTGGTTCACAGTTACACGCTTTAATATTTTTTTCATTTTTTAATTAAAAAAGTAATTATTCCTCGGGAATCGAAGCTCATCAAAAGAAGCTATCTCTTAACTTGAAAGTGCAAACTTGGGTTGTTTACAAATATTACGCGGGCTTTGGAATCCATTCATGAAATGCAAAAAAATATCCGAGGGTAAACAATGTTGTATAATTATTTGAAACAACTTAAGATTATTTTTTTCAAAGACTTTGATTAATTATTAATTTCGTTCCTTAATATAACATTGAGAAAATTTGACCATAATGACAATTTTAATTGTTTTTTCTATCAAATGGGAAAAAAATGGTTTTACAGAGGTGAAGGTTATATACAAAGCATTATCCGAACAAATAATGCGTTCATAAATAAAAAAGATTACACAGTTGAATAAAAAAATAATAATTTCAAAACGACTGCATTGCAGCAGTGTGAGTACTATTCTAGGAAAAAATAAATCGTTTGTATGTATTTTGTTATCAAAAGATGACAACGTGTGAAAATACATTGGGACGGAAATCATATTATAACTACGCACGCATAAATAATTTTTTTCTGTTCCACTGAGCAGACCCTTTTGCCAAAGCTATTACATAAAGGAAATCATTGCAAATTCAGCGATGCCCTTTCAACAGTTTCCGAATCGCTGGCTTTTACACGGATCTTAGATCTTTAGAGGAAAATACAATCCACTCCCTAAATTTCAAAAACTGCCAAAGTCACCGACAAGTAGAACAATCATCGACTAATAATTGCCGATAATTCAACATCATTTTGGGGGTCGAAAGGACAACCCCGCTTCACCATAGTTACTCCTGGGAAAAGCTCCGATGCCCCAGACCGCGTGATGTTAAGATTTTTGTTAAGAAAGTTTCGATTAAGTCAAATGCTGCTGATGTATTAAGAAAGGAAGCGGCTAACTGCACGGTAGTCGTCAGCTTTCTTGCTTTATTAATACCAAGACGAGGCAAGCAAACAAGGATCGACGTGAAAAGATTGTCGACTTCTACTAAAGAACATTACATCAGAAGGTTCTTCCCAACAATTGTAGTACGTGCAAATTAAAAGTTCAAACATTAACTTGACACGGGAAAGCTTTACATTTACCTCCGTCAATTCAGTAATATAGATGACCCAACAGTTCACAGCAGAAATCCAGAAGAACAGATTTGGGATGTGGTGGACAGTGTGAAATAGTCTCATGTAGGGATTAAAAGAACTATTTCTAAAACTCATCGACTCTAGGAAAAAGCTGCAAACGTGGGAGCACGGATTTCATATAAACGTTTTTTGGTGTTAACAAAGTAAAAACTTTATTAGAAACGTATGCTTTCTTGCCAATTGTCCCTAAGAGGCGAAAATTAGCTAATTAAAATCATTTTAAAAAGAATGGCATTCTGTCTTTTTGTTCGTGTATTTCAAGGCAACGAAAATACGGGATCGTATTAAATAAGAGATACATGAACAGTTACACAAACGAAAGATCTATTTACGGCGCATTTGAACTCCAAGCGTGTGGAGCCGGTGTCCGGTCGGTACGGGTTTCATTTTGGCTTGCAACTTCAACAGATGTAATTAATTGTTCTCATCGCGTTTTGTGGCAAATTCTCTGAATTTCAACAGGGCTTATTCGTGCGGAAAATACTTATCCTTCGTTTTGTCGGATCACACTGGATCATCGGATAATCGTTTTATTAATTAAAGTATTAAGACCGATGGGAAAGTACATTTATTTTCTTTAACCCTACATCAACACCCTTTGGGTTTTATTATCATTACGAATAAGAAAAATAAGGATAGCATTAACAAAAACACTTCAATATTTTTATTTTATGTCCCCGGATCTGATTTATTTACAGAGACCAGGTTTGTGCCATTGTAACGTTTTAAAATTACAGTGAGCTAACCTACTATGTGACAAAATTCCTATGGTTCGGCGGATTCCTTTTAAATTTATCACAATTGTTTCGAAAACAAAATCAAAGACTTTTGAATACCAAAACATTTAAAAATTTTTTTAAAAATTTATTTGTCTGATATTTGTATTCAGGGCTTTTTGGGAATGAAGAAAATGAATTTCAACTTATTTCTTGATCAAATATATAAAAGTTTACTTTTTAACGCAAAACTATTTTTTCATATTAATTTTTTCCCCTATTGGCGGAATACTTTGAAACGATTCCACCGATCAAAGGGAAAGTTTACAAGAAATTAAAACGTACACACAATGGCATAATCCTAGTATTCTAATCATTATTTGGACATTGTGAGATGTATCATTCTTCTGTGTCGTATTGAGAGTGCCCCACGGCACTACACAGAAGAATGACACATCTATACAGAAAACAAACACTTTGAGCTCTGAAGATGATCTCAATAAAGATTGAAACGCTGGCACGATAAAGAAAATGTTTTTCTAAAACCTACGTCACACCAGACCGCATCTCACGATTTCCAAATAATCATTGGCTATCGGTCACTAAACGTCGTTTTCTCACTTCTATTTACATAAAATCAATCAGTTGATAAAAAAAACTGATAGAAGAAAAATTAAATATTTTCACGTTTATAATGAGGTTTAATTTAGATAAATTTTAGAGAAATTAGAGTTTTTATGAAGAACACAGGAGATCGGAAAAAAATCCGATTGATCCAACCCACAAATGTAAATTTTTTCTTTATTAAAAGAATTGGTAATCAAAATCTAGAAGGATTTTTAATACAAACTGTGATTTTTCTTTTCCACACACAATATTTTCTTTTTACCTATTTAACTTGAATAGGCTTTTGTAACTTATCCGTCATCACTTAATACGCTCTTGGTTTTTATTAATTGAAAAACAAAAAATAGACTGTTATCTAATAACCTTGAAAAACGTGCTCAGCAAAGCCAGAAAAGCATATTTAAAACAAATATGTATATCACTTAAAATTGCTTTTCTTTTTTCCTTCCTATCCTCCTACATTGGTCATAATGCTCGGATACGTAAATAATATTTATCTTTAAGTTCTTTTTACTAGTATCAGTGAACTTCTTTTCCCACATCTTCTTCTTGTCAATTTTCATATAAAAATGTAATAAAATTGTAATCAATCAATCTACAAACAGTAATTCAATACATAATCGATTTATTTAAATATATAATAACAAACTCGGTTATTTACGAGAAGTAATATAAGTAGGAGCAGCAATATTGATTACTTTATTTTTTTATAACAAAAAAGAGGTGAACAACACGTTGATGACATCCCCTTGCCACAATTCCTTATTAAATTCTTTAGAAGAGCGTAAATATGTTTTTTTCTTCAGTACGCTTACGTGGGTTACATCTAATAAATTATGCAAATAAATGAAATTAATGTAAAGACAAAGAAAATTCTGATAATAAAAAATATAATAAAATATACATCCAAAAGAAAAAAGAAGCCGGTCTGGGGTATTATTTAAAAAAGAAAACAAACACAGTTTGTATAACTGCCTGATTCTTCTGTATTGGAAAAACCCATAAAAATTACATGTTATAAATACATGTTTTTTATATTTGATAATTCAAACAATGTTTCAAAATTTTTCAAAACGGGTAGACGTTTAGTATGAAGTTATATACACTAGTTTTCTTGACCAATTAATATCTGCCAATTAATTAAGATTTTTAGTTGAGATTAAAAAGTCAGTGCCACGAGCGGGATTCGAACCCACGATCTTCGGCTAGATACGCCGCTGCTCTACCACTTGAGCTATCGTGACCTCGATCCACTCGGGCACAAACTTCCCATCTCAACCCTACCTTTTGAATTTTCCCTCCTTTTTGCCATTTTTTAAATGTCGTGAAATCTATTTGATGAAACTGACTTTTTTATCTCAACTAAAAATCTTAATTTATTTAGTTTTATTCCGGGAGTAAACCATCCTTCTTCACCTGCTCAACATGATTTCCCATCATTTGCCCTGTCCTTGTCAGACTCACGAAGTCAGATTGATTTAGTTGTACTCCTCAATTTCATACTCCCTTGTGCCACCTTTGTTACACTTCAATTGTATTACCCTCAATCAAGCCCTCTCCTACATACCATTTTATGTACTTGGTGAACTTCATTTCTAAGGATCGCCAAATTAGGTGAGTTAATTGATAGCTTAAGGGAAAACTTTCTTCATTTCATTTAATATTATATATTTTTGTTGTTTTTTATTTCGTAAACCTCCCATATTATGTTACTTTTATCAAGTTATTAAAACAAGTACATAAAGGTCATGAGTACTTTATTTGGATTTATTCATAGTGTATTTGATCATATACATTTCATTGCCATGTGTATTGGCTAAGAAATAGTGGTAATGGTGATGTTCCAATGAAAAATGACCAACGTAAAGACTTGGGCAGACCAAAAAAGATATATGCGAACTGGGCATGATTATTGTAAAATATTCGAAGAAATGAACCAAATATGAAAGAAAAAAGTTTACATCCCCTCACCTGTCTGGTTGTGGAGCTCTACGGCGGCCAGCGGCCCTGTGGTGGAGGAGCATTTGGAATTGCGGAACGTGATCTGTATTTCCCGCCCCGGGAGGAGGCCGGAACTTCGGACGTTCTCGACGCCGAGCTCGACGCACGGGAGTATCACCGGAAGGCATTGCTCGGTAATTGCAGGATCTGCCGGGACGATGACAGACAATCGGACAAGTCCCGGGGCGCAGGCTGTCTCGGCCGCCAACAGCGCCACCAGCAGCAGAAGCATCACTCCGACATCACTGAAACAGGACGATATTCCACTGAAATCATGAGCCTGCGAAATGAAGAAAATGCAGTGAAAGTTGCTTGCGATTCCATTAAGCCCTTCGCCGGGTCGGTTATTCTCGATAGTAGCATTTTGCCATCCACGAATATGGCAAGAAGCTAAAAATCGTCTGACAAAGGAAAACTGCACGACAGGCAGATCAAAATGAAAAATAACTTTAATCCCTGAAGATTTGAAGATCATACACTGACAGGCACAAAATTCCACCCACTTACCCATTTGTAATATAACTTGATTTGTATATATTTTTATATATTAATCGAAGTTGTAACGTTTAATAATTGAGTCTTTGTCTAAAAACGTTTTTTAAAAAAATGTAAGTTGCTAAGGAAAATGAAAAAAAAGACGGACAGAAAAAATTTATTTTAATTTTGTTTTAGATTTTAATTAGTTTCTTCTTTTCAATTAATTAATCTTTAAGTAAGGTATTGGTTGAGATAAAAAAGTCAGTGTTACGAGGGGGATTCGAACCCACGACCATCGGCCAAATACGCCGATGGTCTACCACTTGAGCTATCGTGACCTCGATCCACTCGGACACTAACTTCCCATCTCAACCCCACCTTTTGAATGTTCCCTCCTTTTTGCCATTTTCCAAATGTCGTGTAATCTATTTGATTCTCGGCGAGAAATGAGATGGCCACGGAGAGCTTTAGTGAAGTATACTTAATTTTGCTTATTAAATCGATTAGATTTTGTAGACCGATTGACTTAATAAATTGAGGTACCGTATTACTTCTCTCAAATACTTTATATTTTTATGTAAGGTTTTGGTTGAAATGAAAACGTTAGTGTCACGAGCGGGATTCGAACCCCCGACCTTCGACTAAATACACCGCTGCTCTAACCACTTGAGCTATCGTGTCTTCGATCGTCTCGGACACCAACTCATCATCCCAACCTACAACCTAAGTAACTAAACAGGTTATTGCTTCAGAATTCAAATGAGACTTAATAAACATTTTAAATTCCGTAAAAATAAATATTGAAAAATCCTTTATCCTTGTTTTCGATTAAGGATTATGTGTGTTAACCTCTAATTGATATTCCCAATTTAAAACATAGCATAAACAAATATTTATTATTAAAACAATGAGGGGGCAGAATTTTCTTTTATCGAGAAAATGAAAAAAATATCTATTGGGTGGAATTTTTTGCCTGTCAGTGTATATGTAAGCAGAAAAATGGGCAAATATCATCCGATCGAGGAAGGAGCCAAGGTAGCATCACTAGCACTACGAAGGGCTACCAAATATAAAACGTTCAAAACAATTTATTAAACAAACGTTAAAGCTCATCTTCAGAACCGAACAGAAATTTTATTTACACATATATGCATTGAAGTCAATAATTTAATGCGTTTTCTGTCTAGCTACACTTGCCTCCAGCTGTTTATATTACTATAAAATTGTTATTACTTTATATTATTTGTCTTTTGGGGAAAAATATTGCACCACAAAACTCAACTTTCGTGGCCAAATTATAAACAGGTTGTTTTAGTTACTTACTTGGTAGCAGATTGTGCTGGTAGCCTAGTATCACTTAAAATAATTTATGGTTACATTTTCAGATGAATTCCGGTATCAAAAACATGTACAGATACGATATGCGTGTATATCGGAGAGATTTGTCATAGTTTCAGAAACTTTCTCTGTTCACAACCTCCTACCTGGTGACATTAGTCCTGCATGTGAGGCCTTTTTTCTGCAGAAGTTTATTAGCCGGTGACATACAGAGCAAAGTGAAAAGTACGCGATTTACCAAGTTCACATGGGAATAAAAGTGAGTTTATGGTATATTATCACCCCAAGTATTTGATCGACACAGACCACGAAAAAGTTACAACTTCAATTTGAATTTTCGAAGTACAGAAACGGTATGCACTTGCAGAAAACGATTGCTTCCATTGTATTATGGTTAGTTCTTATTTTCCATTGTCTAACCTGTTAGATGTTGTATCTATCTTGCAAGAACATAAAAGACTCATCAGCGAAAAGAGCCATTTTTTCGTTCTTTGGGGGAAGTATTTTGTTAATGGAAGGAAAGGATAAGACGAAGCATAGAGCCATGAGAAACACCAGCACATTGTCTTTCGGTTGGGAAAGGAATGATCGAAATACATATTTTTACATACATATTCTAATTCTTACTTTTGCTGTACTAGTTCTAAATTATTTTGTTTCTCTATATTACTCAAGTTCTGTTAATTTAAGGCAGCAGGCTGAAATCCATTGCCATAAAATATTTCTTTTTGTAATTTGTCAATGAACATCTTTATTGTCATTAGCGTTAACAGCGAGACATGCAAGCCAAAATGATCCGAACGAATGAAAACATGCAAGACGAACAACTAAAATGTACTGTTTTCCAGTAGTTTCAGTTGGTAGTTCAAAGGAAGACGTGAACATTAAATCGCTGGCGGGTTTTTGAAAGTAAGTAAATGTGGTTTATAAGCGTTCTTTGAAAGAAAAGTTTTACATGAAAATTTTGAATTACGAAGCCCATGCATATTTTACACTCTAATTTATTCAGATTCCTCCCTCCAAACAGCAAAAGAGAAGAGGCTATTTCTGCCATAGGGTGAAAAATTACACAACTTTAAATACATTTCACATAGAATAGATTATTTGTATCAGTAAAATACAGCGGTTTATCTCAACCTTTGAGAAAAGCGAAACACTGTCAGCCCAAATTCGATCATGAAAAGTTAAAAGTTTGATCTTTCTATTTATAAATTACCGATCGGATTTCAAAACCTGCTAAACTCAGGGGGCATTGACGATTTTAAAAACGACGTTTGAAAGAAAGGTTTTTCCATGGAACTTTGTTTCACTTCGGTGAGCATCAATTTTCGCCCTAACAGTATCTACCTTAAGTATCTCTTTTTTTATGGCGACCATGAGTAAAAAATGCAATCCATTACTCAGTGTGCAAGACAAATTATAAACTGAAACTGAGAATAAACATAGTTTATTTTCAAAAATACAATAACATTTTACATAATCATCCCATATTTCAAAAATCCTTCTTTGCTGTGATGACATTTCATCATTGCCGCTTTCTCGCAAGAAAGTAAAATAAATTATAATTTAAAATCATAAACTCCATTAAGTTAATTAGAAGTGCACAATTTTCAATAAATGAGAACTGGCAGGATTTTTCCCAAAATCCAACTGTCCATTTAAGCAAACTCCAGCCTCAGCTTTAACCTATCATCACGTATTTGCGAAATACCACTTTAGGGGTTAAGTTAATCACATTATATTTTTAAATTTGCATTTCGTAATTAAGTAATATTAGACTAATTTAGACAGTTGTTATTAACACGAGAAAAATAGTCTAGATTTCTTCCAATTTTTGTAATTGTCGTGTATATTCGATATTACGGTTCTTTGTTTTCCATGTAGATTTTGCACGCTCCAACGCCTAAGGACAAGACATTCCTGATAAGTCAACAACAATAATTATCACCAACTAAGAGGAACTAAATTGTTTCCGTTCAAAGGCATAATTAGGCGCTTGAAGGTGGATGAGATGCTTTTTCTCCTCCAAGAGTAAATATTAATTAATTTTTAAACCTTTATTACTCTGTCCTTGTTTCCGTTTATAATTATCTTTCCACTAACAAATCATTTTAATAAAAAAAATCGAAGAGATGATAGACGTCTACAAGGTCAACTGAGGAATACTGGAGTACTTTATATTATGTACTCAAATCTATGGCTGGTGTGCAAAAAAAAAAAAAAAAACGATTGATATAAGTAACAACATAAGAATAAACTGTTGCAAAGAAGATAGAGACAAGACCGACGAATATAAAAGGAATGAAGGGAGGAAACTATATTGAAAGAAAAGGATTAAGGAAAGTATATATTACATTCAGGAGTGAGAGAGAAGGAACGGATGAAAGTTTTATTGCGAGATATAAGATATTAAGGCGGGTTACGTTCCAAGATTCAACTTCGAGAAACAGAAGGAGCGAAAAGAAGGTCTGTCAATAAACCCCTAGAAAACCATCATGGTACAATTTACCAAGCAAATAGCACTAGGAAGGCCTAAGTCATTTGCGCAAAGTCAAGTGTAAGCCCTCATATCAGGAATAAATTAAAAACAAATACATCCTTTTATTATTTGGAGATCGTAAGATGCGGTCTGGTGTGACGTATGCTTTAAAAGACCGCATCTCACTATCTCCAAATAATCATTAACTAACGGTCACTAAACACCACACATAAATCCTTTTATTTAACCAGCTTTCATTATGTTAAAAACTATTAAACTAAAAATTTACTAACTATATTTATTAACTAAAAATTATACAAAATTTTTGTTTATTTCTAAAAATAAAATCTAACACAATATATTTGCGGACTGGCATTTCAAAATATATTGTTCAAAACTAAAATACAAAGTAGTGTACATTTTTAGATGTAACACTAAAATAACAAATTTCTAAACAGAGACAATCTTTTTAGAAAATCAGTTTTTAAATTTCAAAAAAGTAGTACAGTTATAATTAACCCTTTTTTATGACTATACAAAAATCTAAAGGCAACTTTAAACCCAAAATTATAATAAATTGAGGTATTATTTTCTATTATATGAGGTACTGCAGGTATAGAAACATCCAAAATTCGAAGATGTAATGAAGGCGATATCAATGGTATGATTTTATGTTGAAAACAATATAAACAAGTAAATTTAGTAATATGCCGATTTAAATTCATAACCTTAAATTCTGAGTACAAAGGTTTAGTGTTTATTCGACGTTTTTCTTTCAAATAATTTTACTGGGTGTATTCTGGGTGTCAGTATGAGGTTTATGATAAGAGTTCGTTGATCCACCCCAAGCAATAATTCGATAAACCAAAATATGCTGTACCAGTGCAAAACGAACAATTTAAGTTGATTAATATAAATAAATTTCTCAGCTCTACAAATGTATGCAAATGT